TTCACATATAATGTCGGTTCCTTTCTAATATCACTATTGGCACCTTGTCAATTTTTATTTAAAATAGGATCACTATTACTGGTTATTATTAATGCAATCCAGCTGGATGAGTAGCGGTTCACCAATGTGCGATTTAAAAGTTTTCTTCCTCGCATAACTTCCTTGTGGAATCGACTACCACCAGTGATTTTTCTGTACTGATACGACTTTGTCACCTTCAAGAAAGAGCCTATTCCTTTTTAAAGGTCCGGCAACGCAACTGCAATTCCCCTGGTGTTGCATTTGTTCATGGGCGGCGGTAATCACTTACCATCAGGTGAGTCGTATACTCGTTTGCCCCTTTTCTGAAAAAACCAGCAACTTGTACTTGTAACCGTGAGCTTGCACTGACGCTATTTTCACAAAAAAACATGTTTTAAATACTGTTTTCTGTCAATGTATCAAAAAGCGTTGTATATTCAAAGAACATGTTGTTGTGATTATGTTTGACAGTTTATTGTACATTACATATTTTAAGTACATTACGAGTATATCTTTATAACTACAGAAACAAAATGTTTGTAAACAAATTTGTAGAAATATTGTCATGTTGAAAGATAAGTTTGAATATCTGTTGAAAATTTTACACAGTTTTGGTGAATGCGAACGCCACCATCAACAAAACATGTTGTTGATTTATTTTATGCGATTTGTTTCAAAACATTACGTATTGGATGTTTCTCAGTGCAAACGTATTGTAAATAAACACATAAACTTGATCATCATTTTTTATTTAACTGGCTTTTCGGCTCTGGGTTCTAGCCCTTCTGAGCCTATAATTTCTTTCGGAATCTTCGTTTTTATATATTGTTTCTTCACAATATGCTTATGCGTCACATTGCGAATTTAGGAGATTTTGACGACATCTCATCCCAGCGGACAGTTGATTAACGACAGCCACTCAAATTCATAATGCACCCAAGCAATCAAAATAAATTGAGGTTTATATCAACATTAAAGCACTCGTTTCATCGTTTTCTCTAATAGATCACACGCGCAGATACTTAATTCCCAAAATCGTATCACTTTTACGAATCAAAATCCACTTCAAACCATTATTCAAGCAACAAAACAAGAGCGACAATCCGTCGACGGCCAAGTTCCCGCCAAAACGCCAATTGATCATCAGTTTTCAGTGTAACACAGAGTACTTTTTAATATACTATAGTGGGCCACAGTTTACTTTTTAATTTTAAGTGGGGTTTCTAATTGGTTACCTGGATGTCCTTGAATTGTATTATTTATTTAAAGAAAAGTAACAGAAAGATATTTTTTCAAATTATTTATTATTTTTAGTTGTTATCAGAAAGTATCTGCCGCCCATTATCTATTTAATTTAATTTTATGGGATGTTACGGATCATTAATAGAACCAAGCGTTACTTTGCGGAAATCCATTATATAAATTATGTTAAGAGCACCCTTTATTTGCATATTCTATCACTGTCAGCATTCTACCAACATCGCCAAACTCAAACCGAATATCTTCAATTAGGATATAAATATCACCGTTTGTATTAAGACGCGTATTTCACCTCTAAACAAGGCATTAGCATCAAAAATAAACTTTGCGCTGAATGGCAGTGGGCGGGGTACCCTTCGAACTAGGTAAAATTAAAGAGGGTGATCTGAAAAGTTTTCAACCTCAACGAGAAGATTAGAGAAGCAACACTCGTCATTAAAAGTTAGTGAATGTAGTTCTGCATCTTTTGACAGATGACAGAGATTTGTATTTTTGTGAAAATGGAAAAAAATTAGTTAATCAAAGATGAGTTGGACTCTATGTATGGGGATTCTGTGCCATCATTTACCGCAGTGAAATTTTGGACAGCTGAATTTAAACGTGGCCGTGAGAGCTTGGGAGACGATGAACGTTCTGGATGTCCAAAAACTGCAATTACTGACGATAACATCACTAAAGTTCACTAAATGGTACTAGACGAGCGCCAAATTAAAGTAAGAGGGGTATCATAGGCTATGAAAATATCCCAAGAACGTGTTTATCACATATTGTTACGAGCTTAGGGTTCGTGACAATAAAAACTGCCGATTGAACTACCAAAATTGACACTTTAATTACCGAACACCAATTAAAACTTAAAACACGCTAGTAATTAATCACACTTAACACTTTAGTTCACTTTATTTCGCTCTGAATTCTTCGTTTGTGTCGCCAATTCAATACTGCCCTGGTTGCGGCCCTAAATGGCTTTATATAGGCCTTTTCCACCGAAACATCTAGAATGTTCCAGCAAATACCGGTCCCGACCCACTAGGTGTAGAAAGTTTGAGTGTGTAGTTTTCTATAAAGCTTAGTTCTTCTATTTGATAATAGTGCCAGGTAACCGACATCAACTGCGGCGCACAACAGTATTAAAAAAACGTGTTCAAATCATTGAGCTATTATGTACTACGTACTAGAGGCGACAGTGCATTCAGCTACTCTGTTCCACTCAACTACGGTGCATACGCATGCATTTAATCAATCACTCGCAGGCGCTTGTAGAGTTGTCACGTGTTGTGTTGATTTAAAAAAAATCTCTTGATAAAAATATGCCGTCGTGTGTACTTAGATATTGCACAAATGATTCAAGAAATGTCAGTAAAAACCAAGGAATTACTTTTCATCGGTTAATAAGATACTTAATCAATAAAAAAGTAATAAAGTTTAATAATTAGACAAATTATTCCTAAGACTGCATTCGATTCATTTTTTAATCCTCGAAAGTATGATCATGTGTCTACTTATCGCTCTGAGCTTAACTGGTTACCCATTCGTCAGCGCCGTAGTCTACGTGCACTCACTACTCTTTACTCTATCTTAATGTCTCCTAATCCTCCATCTTATTTAACTCCTCATTTACAATATCTTAGCTCCAATCATGATAGAGTTCTCCGTTCTAGTAATAACCTTTTGCTTCAGTGCCCCCCTTTTAGTACTAACTTTGTACAATCATTGTTCTTTGTTAAATCTGTTCTTCTTTGGAACCCTCTTCCTTCCGAAATCAGGAGTGCCGAAAACCGGATTTCGTTCAAGTCTAAAGTGCGAGAACTGCTCGTCAATAAAATGGCAGAAACAACGTAGCGTTTATATATATAATTAATTTTATGTATATATACCTACATAGTGTTTATATATGTATATATTTATACGCTTATATATGTATGAGCTTATATATATGTGAATATTAATCGCTGTACATACTTCTTATTACACCTCCCTCTTTTATCTCTGCACTACTCTAAGGTAGACTGCTAGATAATGCCTCAGGTATTAAGTCCGTCTATATACATCTAATGTGTATATGAAGTTAAATAAATATAAATATTATCTTTGACAAAAAAGATGAAATTATCTTAAAAGTAATAATTAAATATTCTATATAGTTGGTAACCGGAGACTTTTTTTACTGGTAACAAGACAATCTAACTTATTCCCCATGGATAACATCGTATTTGCAGTTTGACTCTCAATCGAAGAAAAAAGTCGGTGTCTCCTTTATTTTACTACAATAATACTTGTTGATAATAAAATAATGATACTTTTAGTTACGAAAGAGCTCATACGTATGTACTTATGTATGTACCAACAGGAGTTTTTGTGTTACTTACTTTTCTTTATAATTGTTAAGTTTCTAGCAAGCCAACAGAACTCTGAGTGTTGTGTAAATAATTCCGGCTATGAATAGTCTTCAATTAACTAAAGAACAAGCGAAGATTTTAAAATAAAATGTCTTTTTAGGAATCTATATGACATGAAATTATATTTACAATCTACGTATTACTTCAGCAAATATGGTGATAGACGAAGTACTGTCAATAAACATTGCATGTCGACACAGTTGAAAAACTCACGCGATGGCATGTTTAGCCGTGCTGGTTCTTTAGCCCTTGACATTGTATTATGTGAGACAATTTCGATCGATCTTCTTGCCCTATATGTAAATTTAGTACAAAATGCAGTAAAAGCTGCGAGTACATTTTTTTTTGTTACGAAACTCAGTCGGCATTTGGCGCGACACCAAAACTTTGTTACGTTAGTTTTTCTTTAGTACGGTGAGTGAAAATGCAGATTATAATAAAATATCAATATTAGTTATATACAATATTCCAATACACATACTACACAGCAGTTTTTACAAAAGTTTTCTTATTCCCTGAATTATTTCACAGGTGTCGTAGGTTGTTTAGTCGTATTCGAAATAATTAATTTCGCAGCTACCGGTGCACACTTCCTAAGAAAATTTCAAATTTAGAATCTCGTAAGACATTCTTGGTCGATTTGTTTTTTTATAACGTGAGGTTACGATTTCTACCACCTCAAACCCTACGATGGTTACCGTCCGCGTAATCGATGGGCCCCGATATCTTCGTTCGAAATGCATAGAAATGGTTGCGTTGCAATGGTTTTGTCCTTACGTCCTGAGGATTGTATCAGATCGTCCGCAACCTCAGACACTCCGTTTTCGGTAGTGAAGCTTTTACTGTGATGTTTTCTCTGAGTAGAATCTGTCATCTTCCAATCCCACTCAGCTATCAACCTTGAATAGAATAGAATGGTTCTTTATTGCTCCCAAAGTGTGTTACATATAGTGCCTGCGCCCCTACTGTGTGGGGCCGCAGTGGGTGAGTCAGCTACTTACGCTATGTGTATCCGGAGGGATTATTGTATAGTGTAGAGTAAACTATTTATTTATTTTATAGATTGGTGTGCAGTGTCCGCATGAGCGAGTGCGCGCATGCACACTGACTATATTATTAATCGAATAAAAACTTACGTACTATTTTACAAACTAGCTCACAATCTACTTACTGGCTAAGTGGAGGTGCGGTGGGAATGTGGGTTAGTGTACAGGGAGTTTTGTGACAGGATGGGATGGGGTGTTGGAGAGGAAGGGGTTACAGTAATTGTGAGATAATTTCGCTCTCGTCTCTGTCTTGCGCTAAGGAGGAGCAACAGCCTCAGAGGTCGTTTCCGTGGCTGTCCTTGGCGTATCTCCTAGGTGTGGGACGTGTTCTATAGTTGATTTCACTCAGTCTCGTACACTCGAGCGCAGGGTTGAATTGGCCATGAGCCGTGTGCGGTGCACCCGGCTGTTGAACATCTTGCACTTCCAGTGCCGCTATCTTTTTCAGCATACTCGCGTGAAGATCGTGAGCTCGAAGGTGCCACGCCTCAAAGTCCAGCAACTCCCAGAGCAGGTCGGTGTCCAGGCAGCGGGGCATCTGTCTTCCGCGGTTGTGCGCCTTCCGATATTGTCTTGTTGGTTAGACGTGCTTATTTCTTAGCAGATCGTCGCCAGATGGATCGACCAGGATAGTCCGCTTTCGTTCCCACGCAGGGCATACTGCAAGCGTATGGGAGGCGGAGTCTTAGTCCTACCAGGACTGCAGCTGCTTCAAAGGATATCGTGCAGTCACGTGTAGAGTTCTACATAATAAGGCAATAGAAGTCGTAAAAGCGAGTGACTATGTCGCCACACATGTGACTCTTAGGCCACAAGTGCGCAAGGAGCTTTTATTCCGGTCACCGCTGTTGTATCAGACGCAGAGACATAAAAATGGTGTTTTGCAGCATATCCAACTGCGAAAATTCTTCCACAATTTGTAAAGTTTCAAATAACGGGATAACATTAACTTAGTGTTTTAAATAATATTGTTTGTTATGTGTAATGAAATATATTAATTAATAAAACTATTCACCTCCAGTACTACGATTGTCTCCGAAAATGTAATTGTTTTAACATTTAAATATCCATTGATTCTTAAACTAGTTCATATCTAGGAGTATAACAGTTAAAAGCAGCGATGGATTTATACTAGTACTAGTACTAATAATAAACAATATTGTCGCGTACGTAAATTTCCAAGAACATGGCCGCAGGAGTCAATAACGTGACACTACTATTTAGTATCGATAATTTATTATGTTTGGCTTACCTATAACTAGGGTTTTAAATGTGATTTTTCGTTAAATACTTATTTACACTTTTTCTATTTTTTTTTCTTTCTAATTATTTTATACCGTTAACCGTTTATCAGCAATTATCTCTTTGTTAGTACTTTTAATTACTTGATAAATTTTTATGCAGTTTTAATATATTGTGAAGATAAGTAATTAAATTATAAGAATCGTATACTAAACTTGTTTCGTAAAAAACCGGGTAACTGAAACATAACATACAACATAAAATCAGTTACAGATCTTTAAAACTAAAAAAATGATATATATGTCACCCATACATATATTTATTTGTTTGCTGTTTGTATAATGTTGTATTAATTTTATTTTTAAATCTGTTTATTTTATACACTGGTATTATTACAGGTTTCCGAAAGATTCGGATATTAAAGATAAATGGATATACTTAACCTTAACGTTTTGTCATATCCCCATTTCTCTAACTATAAAACATCTAAAAACTGAAACTATAACTAGTTATGTCTTGGTGTGAGACTCCTGGACGATCAACGATGTTTAATAAAAAGTTATCGATATATGCGTTTCGTTGCACTATGCCCAAGTGAATATGAGCTCGCAATGTCATTCTCTGTTTTTCGCACACGATAATTATTGACCCGAGTGGCTACGCCTCCTGAGATTTTGCGTTTTTATAAAATATCCCTTAACGCAATAGTTTATTGTTTAATATTTGTTCCATGAGTACTAGAGGTATGGGTAGGCGTAATAGTGTATTTATTGTTTGTCTATGTGTCATAGCTGCAAACTGGCGACATACGTCTTGATATTAAAAGACAGCAGAAGGCATTTCTAGTGCCTTATTATTTAGATATCTGTGCGTATGATTTACAGAGCAAACATATGAAATACTCAGCTATAGTAATATCTACTGCCTTGCCTTTCTTCCTCAAGAAGACCAGCACTTGCCTTTTCCATCCCACGGGGAACTGCGCACTTCGGAAATTACTGGTTTTTAACAATAGTCAGACATGACCTTCACTTATTCGCATTCTTGGATTTCCAGTTTTTATAAAGCGAGGTCCTTAAGTCTTTCACTCCAGATGGTTGGAACTGGGTTCTCTTCTTAATAATCATCAAATCGGTACCGTAGACTTAAGAAGGCCCATCTCACAAGATATTAAATTCTGACCGTTTCTCGTCCTCATGGAACAACGTATTCGCTCAAATTGGGCCAATTTTGCTACCATCTATATATGGGTAAGATTTCTATATCCCCACAATGGGGACACATCTAAAAGGAATGACAACTTCTTGCAGTTGGTCGATTTTGCTTATTCTAAGCTTCCTTCTATATAATCCAACACTTCAAGAAAAATCGCAATCTAATATTATAAGGTTACGTCGTGTAGGTGTTGTTCTTACCCCGCTCATTTTAGGTGAACAGGATTATATATTAATCTTTATCTTGTAGGTGTAAGGTTTAATTTCGAATAAATCATTATAAATTGTGGTTGTTTCCTGGAAGCTTCTCAACTAGATAAGGTAAAATTAATTTTCAGTTAGTAACACATCGAAAATGGCTTTAGATAGTAATTTTTTATTTCTATTTTATTATGAATTTCTAAGAAACAAATAGCTTTAAGATATACAAAAAAAGTTCTAATATATTTTTATTTTATTAGCTTAAAATCTATTGATGATACTATAGCTGCTGCGTTCCATAGATGCGTGTACCTGCAACCACCTTCAAAAAAAATCAAGCTGATGCATTGTTGCGAAGATGCGTTGACAATTCTGAGGTCTAAGGAGGAGGAAGATGGAATGCCTCACAGTATGTAATTATGCTGGCCATACGCACTCATGCTTGGCGTCAAAAAAAAGACAAAAAAGGAGTCCCCACCTAGATGGGTAACGATATCAGTAGTTCCGGTAAGAAACGAACTCTGGTCGTGTAATAAAATTTAAGATGAGCGGGCGAAATTAATTTTGTAACCATTACATCTGGTCTGTGCTTAATCATCTGGTCGAAGCCAAGTATTGCAAACACAAATCCATGGCGTTTATGGCAAAAGCTTTTATCTTTTAAAGGGCCTATGTACCTATAGTATCGGTAATTTGAATGGCTAATGGCTTATAGTATTGGTAAATAAATACACTGGAGACAGTGAATTTTTGCCACTTCTCAAAGGCGCCGCTAAACATAGGCTTTTCGAAACGATAACGTAACTTTTTTTATTTTAAGCAAGCAAGAATTTTTTACCGCCGTAACTACTTGCAAATTACATTAAACTTATATATTTTACGTCCGATCTTTACGTTCTGAATCACAAAAAACTCAAAAATTAATAATTAGCTATCTTAATCTTCGTTTTAATGTTGGTGGCACTAAATTACTTAACAGCGTCATTTAGTAATTATTGATATAAGACATCCTAAGCAATTACGTTGTTTATAAAATTTACCCGTTTCACAAGTCCACTGCTGAACAATAGAACTCACCTAAGGAATTTAACAAAGCAAAGTCTTGAGCCACCTGTATCCATCGACTTCCTGGATTTCTTACCAGGTCTTTACTCCATCTATTGGAGCCACCCTCCACTTAAATTACCATTTACCGAACTTGCAACAGATAAACTCATCAGGCATTAAGTGACTTGTTCTATGAGACATATGAGTTCATCTTGAATATATATTGTGAACAAAAATGAAAAAAAAGATAAAGTGAAAAGTTCGAAACAGGCATCTTTGGACTTTTGTTTTAAAGCTAACGGTAACTAGGTATAATATTAAACTGAGAACGTTTCCAGTTATTGTAATCAAGTATAATAGCTGCTAAATTTTACTTTACATTTTATATCCACTAAGCTTAAAATTAAAAGGCGCTGTGTCACATTTTCTGCTTGCGACGATGAAGATTGCGTTTTCGCAATTTCCGCTTAAAATTACTTGACAGAGCTCTTTTTCGGAAAGGGCAACGTCACTTTCAATTAAATAATATGACGATAGAACAATATGAAATTGTATATCATTTTACTTTAAATAGCAAATCTGTCATTCTTCATATATTAAAGATTGACTTGATTAAAGTACAATAATTTGAAGTAATTCTTCTATAGTTTAACTCATAAAATACTATAAAACACAATAGAATGGCTGTCAACTGTATTGTATGAAGGTTGGCGTCGCCAAACCCGATTCACTGTGTTGACACTGAGTAAATTTACACATTTTAGACTTTTGATTAATATTCAGGATCATCATTAAAAAATAAATAATTTGCATGCGAAATTTGGAAACGATTGTAAAGTCAAAACACATCTCGTGTTGACATTTATACGTGTGAATTGACGTGTTAGTGACATTTTAGTGGCTACATGGGGTCCCCCCACTTCCCCGTTCTGTTATAAATGTATTATAGAATTCTATGGTTTAACTAGTACCTTTACTTCATAGGAGTCGGTCTGGATAAGGACAACCCTCTTACCCATTTGATGCAGTGTTCGCACCATTATGTTCCGGTCAAAAGGGTATACGAGCCAGTTTAATTACAGGCTGTAAAGCATTCTATCTCATTTCTCAAAGATAACCTTGTTTATTTGAAGTTCGCTACAGGTTTCGATGAATTGTAGTCATCACTTACTATCAGGTGGTCTGGTCTGTAAGTTAGTTTGTCACTTTAGTTTTATAAATAATTTTTTTTTAAATCTTAAAACCTCTCCATACTTGGATTTTTTCACTCTATCACTGAAAATCAGCGCTATCCCATTCTGTGTTATATGTAGTTGTAAAACGTGCTGAATGATTTCCTTTTTGGTTTTTTTTTATCTGGCGTATTATTGTTTCTAAGTTAAAAGTAAGAATTTTTACTTCGACGACATACTTACTTTTCTTCTTTGACGAGATGCATTAAAGTAAGAAAGAATATACCACGTCATTAAAAGTTGCTGTGAACGAATATAGCAATAAAGTTTGTTTACTGTGACAGTGGAAAGCTGAACGAAACAAATAAATAGAAGTTATGTTTATTTTCCATCAGCTTTCACATCCCTAGAGTTTAAACGGTAGATTTTATTCACGTATTGGTTTGTACAACTACTGTTTTATTAAGAAATAGCAACCCGCTCCGGCTTCACCTGGGTGCGATTTATTAATGTGGCATTATCAAGATTTTTTTATTTTATATATTTTTTGGATAAAACATAGTCTAGATCCCTCCAAATTTTCAGAAATGGTTGTTAAATACGGTGGAGTGTTAATATGTTTTTTACTTTATATTAACTACTATGATAGTACCTGTTTGATC